GAGACTGGTGATGATGCGTCAAGTCATGGGATGCAGAACAATCGGTTGCACGCCCTGCTTGCTCTGGGAGGGAGGAGGAGGGGGGAGGAGGAGGAGGGGTGCTTTGTGATGACATTTAGGGCTGCTGACGAAATGAAACGTTACGTAGGAGGCACCTTGACGAATGAGGAGCGGCGGCGGGTATAGGGTTTATAAACAGGGGGGACAGCAGCAGCCTGCCAGAAACCAACTCAACCCCAGGACCTCTCTCTCACCTGCTGCTTCTCTTCTCATCCAGAGTCCAAAGTAAAACGCGCTCCGACATGAACCTGAACGGCCACTGCAACGGGAAGGTCGGCGACACCGTGGAGGAGTTCCACTGCAACAACGGCTTCAGCGACCTCATCATAGACACCAAGAAGTCGTCCGCCGTGCACCGCAAGCACGAGACGTCCCGCAAGGAGGCCGAGGACAAGTCCCGCTTACCTGCGCTCGAGGCCGCCTACACGAGCATCCTCCGCGAGCTCGGGGAGGACACGGACCGGCAGGGGCTGCTGCGCACGCCGCTGCGCGCCGCCAAGGCCATGCAGTTCCTCACGAAGGGCTACCATGAGACCGTGGACGGTGAGTCAAACAGGTGCCTCCTCTCTGTGGGCTTCACAAGAAAAACTTTAATTGGTACTTGTTTCAGATATTTAGGTTGAACACCTTTATATGATCTAGGACTTCATGTCCAATAGAAAGAAGCAGTCAGGTATTATTTGGGGCAGGGCTTTTGACTGATTAGATTCCTAAATCTGGTAGATTACAGCAGCTATAAAAGATGTTTAGAGTAGCAACACTTAGGCAATATACAGAAATGAAAGTGGCAACAATTGTGATAATTGATTAAATCCTTGAAGTTATTTTGAATTAGATTTTAAGTAGTTATTTCTTAGTTTTGCATGATCATACTGTATATTGAATATCTTTAGGTTTTGGACTGTTGGTGTGACATTCAAAGACATCTTCTTGATGGATATTTTTCACAGTTTTTTAATATTTTCATTTAAATGTATCATTTAATTAGATGATGTTTCTTATGTGTGTGTTTGTGCCCCCAGACATCTTAAACAATGCCATATTTGATGAAGACCATGACGAGATGGTGATCGTGAAGGACATAGACGTGTTTTCATTGTGTGAACATCACCTGGTGCCCTTTTTTGGAAAGGTAAGTCTGTGTGTGTGTAGACAATGCACATGGTGTGTTTGTGGGTTCAAAGAGAGTAATAGATAGATCTTAAAAAAACTAAACTGACCTGAAACAAGCTTTGTGCAAGCTTGTGCATGATGTGGATGTCACTGTCTATGATTCTGTGTGTGTGTGTGTGTGTGTGTGTGTGTGTGTTTAAAAGCCAATATTGCCAATATTTACAATCCTTTTCCCTGGGTATGTGACTTCTGCTCTCACTGGCTGCCATCTCTCTCCAGGTCCACATCGGGTATATTCCCAACAAAAAAGTGGTGGGACTGAGCAAGCTGGCAAGGTAACACACACACACACCCTATTGCTGCCACTGTGGCTGTATGTTTCTGGTGTTAGTGCCGGGTGGCTGCGTTCTTCTGTTATCTCAGTGCATTGACCTGGAGGCTTAAGTCTAAGCCCAGTGGCCATCATCTAGTCCCCTCATCAAGCACACTCACAGACACAAATCTAAACTCTATCCGCCCTCGAGCCATGAGAAAATCCCTACGGACCTGTGGGAATCAGCTGTTATTATCACAGCCTATCTGTCTGTCTCCTTCTTTCCCTTTCCTAAAATATCACACCATCTCTGAACATACAAACCCAGAATAACAGTAGCAGAGTCACCGGGTTTGTAGCTGTTGTTGAATCTTGCACGACAGATTCAGAGAATTCAGAGAGAGGCCAGGGGTCACAGACTGATGCCAGTCTGTGTTTATCAAAAGATTAATCATTATTACGTCTGATCTGTAATCTCCTCTCCCACTTTGCTTGTGTTCTTGCTTCTGTAGGATTGTGGAGATCTTCAGTCGGAGGCTTCAAGGTACGAAACCAAAGAAATTATGCTATATAACCACAGCACTTTTCTTCTAGTTCACACAAGAATTTTTTATGCAATCTGGTTTATGTCATATTATTTTTGCTTCTTTCAGTTCAAGAGCGTCTGACCAAGCAGATTGCCATGGGAATATCAGAGGCTCTGCAGCCAAAAGGTGTAGCTGTGGTTATTGAAGCAGCGTAAGTACACACACACACACCTTCATAATCATCATTTGTATGAGTTAAAGCACTAATACCTCACAGGCACAATGTAAAAAGTTCATGTATCATTAAAGTGAGTATTGGTACATGCTAATTCCCTTATTTGAATGTTCTTCACTCCTGGCTTTAGCTGTATCAAGTTAGAAAGACAAATAATAGAACCAACTACAGTATAATATACTGAGTCTGTGTTGTGAAATTCAAATCATAACCTGAGTTGTTAAATAATTAATTTACACACAGATTATCAATGCATGCAGATGGAAATAATTATTAAATAGAAACATATTCTGCCACTATAATCAGTATCTGAGCAGTGAGGTCCACTGTAGTTCGACTGATGTGCACACAGTCTAAAAACAGAATCATGCAAGTTTATAAGAAATGTGGATGCAACTTACCCTTCCTTGTGTAATTTTTAGAATTAGCACAATCTTCACAATCACACACTCCTGCTTAGTTTCTGCAACTTAGTCTGGTACGACCAGTTGCTTTTGGTTTCTAAATATACTTTTAGCAAACTTAAGCTTACTGAGCTAGAGCCAGAGTGGTTGTTCAATAAAATGTATATAATATTAACAGTTTAACAGAGAATTACACCTACGGGTCAAAGACTGTCCTCAAAGCATGTCATCTGCTGCAGCTGCAAATCTAAACCATGTGTGTGTTTTTTTAGGCACATGTGTATGGTCATGCGTGGTGTCCAGAAGATGAACAGCCGCACAGTGACGAGCACAATGTTGGGAGTTTACCTAGAGGATCCCAAAACTCGGGAGGAGTTCCTGACTCTTTCCCAGCACGCCTAACAGATAGTTATACACCATTCACTCCCGAGCCTCTCTATACAGCATCACACAGAAAGCTCTAGAGTAACAGCTGATCCGCATCTGACTTTTAGGAAAACACACAAACCTGTAGCAGGAAACAACGCTGCTGTTTGATGCCGGATCCAAGCAAAACTCTGGGGCTCACCTCAATACACTAACGGCTGATTTCAGTCCTTCAGAAATCCGCCATTTGGAATCACTGTGAACATAATAGGAAATATATGACTCACATTCTTGGTGCCTTTGGAAGATATTTTACAGTCTTACACGGCAATATTGTTGTAATGAAGTATGAAACCTGAGTGCAATGTTGTAACATGACAATACTTAAGATTTTCTCTTTTTTTAAGGGAAATTCATTGGTGCTTTGGCAAAGTGGTACACCTTTCCTCGCTTTATTATCGTATTTAGAATCCACTGATTTAAATAATTTAACAAATTATGTGTCATTTATAAATACATTTATAAAGTCTTTGTAATATATTGCATTTTTAAGATACAAATCAAATTATTATCTATGTGGTACAAAGAGCTGAATAAATTATGTGCTGAATGGATTTTTGATTTATCAACAACAAATGTAGCATGTATTTTAAAGATTCTTTGCCTAAATAAAATGACAGAAACATTATGAAAGTTGTGAACCTTACTTTGTGTATGTCAGTAACAGACTATGTTTCAGTGTATTATGTTTGTTTCATGAATAATATTATAATGACATTCATACTACATACTAATTGTGATATATATTTGAGGGCTCCAGTCACTCCACTGCTTAGTATCAGCTCAGCTTGGAACCTCGACCATAGTGACCAAAGTGATACCAGAATAAGAAACAGGTACTACCCACAACTTCTGATAATGGAAAACCAAAAAAGAGAAAATAGAGTGGAAACACACCCGCTGGTGGCGCTGTAGGGAAAGTCAGGGGTTCAGTAGGCTGTGAGTGTCAGTACAAACTTAATCCATAAAATAGTTGTTGAGATATTTCAGTTGGGATCAAAGTGGTAAACCAACCAACAGACGGACAACGGCATCCCTAAAAAGTCAATATACAGACAAAATATACATACAAACTGCAGAGTCAGTATATATTGTATATAGTACATTATGTGTTCTATTATTATGTAGTATGAACTTGAAGTGGATCCTGGACTTTATATGGCTTCAGTGTCAAAAATCATCTGCGTGACATGAGCACTGCAGTGAGACTTTATACTGATGCCCCTAAACGCACCACAACACAGTCTAACAGGAGCAAAAGGGCAGTGATATAACAAGCAAACTAGAGAATCCAGAATTAAACCTTTCAGTGGCACTGCTCTGTAGTGACCCCCCCCCCCCTCCTCATGCTGTTTTCTTGTGAAGCAACTGTCCAACCAATGATTGTTTTTGTGATGTTTTTTTGTGAAGAAACAACTACAGCACTGCAGCCAATACAAATTTCATCTTGGGGACAATATTCTACTGTACTCTACGATATAAAGTTGTAGTTGCAGTCTCTCCATTTTACAATTTTTTTTCTCAATTTTAGATCATTTACCTAAACAGGTTACACATTACCCACTGTATATTACCTATTAGCCGGAGACTGGTGCTGTTTTCACGCTGTGGTACAACAGCATAAATCAATAATGAGACATAGTGTGTGCACATGTGGTTAAAGGCCTGAGGGCAAGCAAGGCCTTTAAATATCAAAGGAGGAGCCTGACGTCAGACAACCTGTGAACTATAACCTCCATCTGTGACAGCAATAGGAGGGAGGGGGGTCACAACTGAGTGCGTAGCATGCAGTTTCCAGATACGATTATGTAAGGGTAAACCAATTATTACAGGCATACAGGAAAAATATGGGTATGTTGTGCGTAAGAGGCTAAAATTGTATCCTTTATAGCCTCAGTGAGGTACAAAATAATCCTGTCAAATGTCCTTGTATAGAATGCTTTAATTCACTCAAAAACGCAACTCTTGATATATTACATACAGAAATCAAAATTTCTTAAAAAGCAACAATATTGAATTTAAAATATACAAAAAAAACATAACAAGTGATAACTGGTGGCGTGTTAAGAGACGACGGTGCTTCCCTGTTTATGGCCACTGTAATAGTTCCAGTGGCATTATATGATAGTAAGAGGGCAAAGCCACCTCCAGATCTCTCTTTCACACAGGTGGGAAGGAATAAAGAGTGATAGCTGTCCATGGCAAAACATTGTGGAAAAATACTGAAAATGTGACAAGATGACAAACATGCACCATCAGTCTCATCCTCACATCCGTTATTCACTCGTTCACTGATCGGCACACTGTCACACAGATGTCTGTTTGTAGTTCTTGGTGTCCAAAACTTTCTTTCCACACATTGCACAGATTCCTGAAGAGACAAAAAGGGAGGGGAGAAAGAGAAAAGCCATGAAACAAATATCAGTAGAGAGAGAAGGGTAATGTCACTGTATGTACATTTGCAGGCTTATGCTTCTTAACTTCAAATCAAACCATTTTTGACAATCCATTTTATAATAGACAATAATAATAATTAATCAATTAATACACATGATCAGCTGCAAAATGCATATGGTAACGTCCTTTCAATTTGAAACATACACAGTTAATATCGTCCTGCCTCCGCACGATATACACTGGAGACACTTTTCTGTTTTAAGCTCCCTACATTGAAGTCAACATGTGGAAAATTAAATTAAAAAAATCATCCAGCTGTTTCAGTGGCACATTCAAGCTTGTTAGGTTTGCGATTTGGGGACAGGTTGCTGGAGTCCACTGAAGTCACTGTCATGTTTACTGAACCATCTGGCATTGCACTTGGACCTACAGCTTTATCTGGCCTAAGGTTCATCAAGATATATGCTTTTTGAGATGCCTGCTTATTTGGATTTCATCATTCACATTGAAGTGTGCCGGCGCCAGCAAATAGACTACATTCAAACAAACCTATAAAAGTAAATTAACCTCAATGCTCTGCTGTATCTATGCATGCCTGTTAATCAATATTGCTCCCTGATGTTAAAGAGTTTTGATAATCCAAGTATAAAAAGCTACAGATAAAGAGTAGAAATGGTCTCTTTTTTGCAATTTAGGTGAACCAACGTGATGTTTGTCACAGGGGATGACACAGATATGTTCAGACTCTAAATTGGTATTCCCTGTGAAGAAAGAGTGTGAGAGTGGCTGCCCCCTTTTCAAGCTTGTCCCTGTTACTGTCTGTCTAGTCTCGGTCGGACAGTTCATTTACCCCGTAGACACTTTGTTTCATCCGTGCACAAATCTCAAACATGCTACTGTGGTTTGCCATAGAGCAAACTCACTACTAACAACATAAAACTCATTTTGGCCCCTTTATGGAGTCCAGTGTAAGTGAGTTAATACCTTTCTTGTATGCACAGCCCTGACAGTAGTGTGATCCGGACTGATGAACTGAGCTCTTGCAGATCCTGCAGGTAGCAAAGCCTGTCTTGCTGTAGGGGTCAAACCTGAAAGGGAGAAGGATCACAGATTGATAACTAGAACACGGCACATTTGAACACACTAAATGTTAATGTGCAACCAAACAAATTTGTGTGACTTCTTGTAGATAAAATCAGAGACAATGATAGTGATATTTTCTCACAAACAACCAGCTAACGTTTTGATTTAAAGTCGAGGTACTCACCTGGCTTTCTTAGAGGTCAGGATCTTGTTTTCATTTAGCTTTCGACCACCACCCTCTGAGTGAAAGAAGCAGAAAGAACTTCAATTAAACACCCTCATCCAAGTCACATAACATCACCAAAAGAAATTGAGAAATTACAAATAGTATAAAAAAATAAGAAAGAACTTTCAGTGTGCGGTAAGAAAGAACGTGTCGATCAAAACCAAAAAAACGGGGGTCAAGCTTGTTTTTGCAATCAAAGCAGTTATTATTGATTGAAGTTTTCAGGCAAACATCTATATCGGTCAGTGAGCATCACTTTAAAAACAAAACAAAGGAGGCAAAGGAGGTTTCATGGATGCATATCGAACACGAAACATCATCAAGCCAGCGAGATACAGCAGTAGATTGTTGACTGTTAGTGTTTGGCCTCTCTTGGACGTTTTATTTATTTTATTTTGTTTTAAGCTAAAGTCCTACATACTGTTACAATGTACAGAACAGACCAGAATGATAAAGGATCAACTTTCTATGTAAAAACTGGGAGGAACATCGCAGATTGAGACTGAATGTTTCCTTCTGCTATTCTGTCACAAACAATCAGTGTGCAACAATCTTTGAGCTTAAAACTTATCACATTTCTCAGTAATTTACTGTCTGATTTATATTATCAGGGAAAGCTTAGTGTGTCTTTGTGTCTTTGGCTCAACTGTGGTTATGATTTTAAATTCTAAAACCAATTTAACTATAAATACGATCAACTACGTTCAAAAATTAAAAGTTCACCTGTTGTATTCCGTGCTCCATCCTTCCAGGTGTCAGGTGTGATGACTTTACCAAGCTTCTTCTCGCCTGAAATAACAAAGAACATTTGTACAGTAAATAAACAACAACAACGTTAGCTCCAGTGTTCGCTAACAGCAGAAATGTCGGTTAGATTTGAAGATAGAAAGCATCTGAACATTGTGATACATACACTTTTCACAAACCATCGTTCCCCTGTTTGTTTAAACCGATGCCTTTCAACGTTTGGTCAAAACAAAATAAAAAATGTTAGCTTCGCCTTTAGCCAACTCGGTGAATGTTTGTAAACTTCCGGTCGTTTCTTCCGCTCTCGCCAATTCGCGGAGATTGATTGGTCAAAGTTATAGCAAGCTCGAATCTCATTGGCGGATGCTACTGTCCGTCACATTAAGTCCCGGTAAAACTTCAATACTCTTCTGTGATTGGTTAGAGGACGCCCTTTACGTCTGTAAAGATTCCTACAAAATAATACTTCCGGTTTGCTGCAAATTCGTATATATATTTATTTATTTTTAAAAATAGAAATTCGCTGAAGGTGGCGGGCCTTTGAGAGCTAAATTAAATAGATATATCATGTTAACTAAAACCAGGCTGACGCAGTTTCAAGAACCCAAAAAAAACTGTTTATTTAGACTATAGTCCCATTAAATTAATGTACAACACTTTCCTTGAAATTCTACAACTAATGGTAGATACTTTTGACAAGTTATATTCTTAGGAGAAATAGATACACAAAAAATGCTTAGATAAATAAATCACACAAGGTGTAACCCCCGTGCAACACTGAACTAGCAAACTGGTAAAAATGACTATGTTATGTAATAAAGAAAGAGATACAGAGTTTTTTTTCAACGGTAAAACTGGTTTTATTAATGGAAAAATGCCACATACATGATATAAAACGGATTATGCTATTGCAATTAGGCCAGCTCTCTGAAATTAGATTTTTTTTAAATCTGAAAATACAGATATTTATAATTATAATGACAAGATCAGCTTCTCAGTTATACATAACAAAGTCAGTTCATGTCAGCTTTAGGAGAAGTTAATTTAATTCCATAGCAAGCATAGATTAGTACTTGAAAATATAATTGGATCTACCCTGAAAATAACTAGACTCCCTTCAATACAATGCTGCACAATGCACATACATATCATTTGCATACCCACTGACTCTTGGGCAGCATAAACAATAAAGTGTATGTATGTTATAAATCTAGAGGGTGTACGACATTATAATTTAAGTAATATAATATTCTTGTGTTCCGTTTTATTTCAGTTCAACCTCTCATCTGTCAAACACAGGAACAGTTTCCACCCACAGGCCATCACTCTGATGAACAGTAAACTCCAGACGCACAGTGTCAGGAACAAACCCTGTACAATAACTCTGGGACATCTACTGCTCCTGTAAACTATTAATTTTTTATTTTTCTATTGTTGAAATTCTGTTTTTTTTTTAAAACATAAATACTATCATTCATTCATATGATGTATATACTGTCATATCCACCTACCTCATGTAAATAAAGAAACCTGCATGTAAATATTTATACAAGCATCCTTTGCACTCTGCACCTTTGCACTATTGTGTACTGTCTACAAATGTAATTGTTTTTTGTTTGTTTATATATGTATAACTAGTAGTTTATGTCTATTTTATTGAGCTTGTTGTCCGTTTTTGTTGTGCATTTGAAGATTAACATAAAACCCAAACGTTAGAATTCCTCGTATGTGTGCACCTACCTGGCCATTAAAAGTGATTCCTGATCTGAGTTGTACATTTGAGAACATTATACCATTTTTGGACCTTAATTTTGAAGTCCAAAGCGGAGTTCAACCGTCACTCCATGTTTTACGGAAGAACAGGTCAAAAGAAACCCCCCCCCCATGGAAGTTTAAAACCTCCCCTTGCAACACCACGCTGCTCAAACTAACACTTTAAAGTTTTTATTTGCGTTTTTGCTCTTTGAATCAATCTCTCGTTGAAGGAGAGGGACACGCACTTCGTAATGTGGGGACCATGAATCCGAACCAATGGCGTCCACACACCGCCATCATCGCCGCCCGGATTTTATCGGCGACCGTCCTACGGCCGGTTTTTCCGTGCCGGGCTTCTCCGGGTGCTACCGGCACCCACCTCTTGTGGCTCTACTCGGCGTCCGCTGCGGTCACCGTGGTCAGTGTCGGGCCGGTCTCTGGGCTTGCCGCCTCACACGCCCCAAGAAGCACACACTGGATACAAGGTGCTGACCTCCATTCACTGACACTGTTTGTTTTGGTATTCTCCAAGTTCAATAATATAAGTTCAAGTTATAGGAGCTAAACTCACTTTATAAAGCTATATAGATTATATATGATGTTATATATTTATATTTATTAGTATGTTCATATATGTATATTATATATATTTATATTTGAACAGTATATATAGGTCAATTATAAGAGTACTCACTTATAAAGCATTATAAATTTATATATGTATAAGTATATATTAGTACGTATATGTATACTATGATAATATTATATTAGAATTATATATGGTAGTATTTATATATTATTTATATTTGACAATATTAATAGGTCAAATTATAGGGACTAAACTCAACTTATAAAGCTCGTATATGATATTTATATATTTAATTAAAGTATATTATTACTATTATATTGATATTAGATGTTATTATATATAGTTATATTATATATTATTGTATTATCTTGACATAATATATATGTCAAATGCTTATAGGGGAGCTAACTCAGCTGTATAAAGCGATTAGTTATTACGGGGGGGTATTATAATTAATTAAATATTATATCGTCAGTATTGATATTAGATTTAGTATTATAGATATTATGTAATCACTTTACGTGCATGATCTATTTATAGTTTGACACAGTATGATATATGTCAGAATATAGGAGCACAACGTCACTTATTAAAGCAATTTTGATATATGATTATAGTATATTGTATGTAGTATATAGTATATATAGCTAATATATATTAGATTATATTTCTAGATAAATATGGTAGTTATTTATATATTATTATATGTTGATATTTGACATATATATGTCAAATTATAGGGAGCTAACTCACTTATAAAGCAGCATAATGATATATTATCATTTATTACATTATTAGATTGTTAATACTGATGCATCAATGTGTAAGTAACATTTTAATGTTGTAGAGGTTTATCTAGTTTTAACTACTTTTTATAAATATTTCTATATAGATAGATAGACTTTATTAATCCCAGAAGGGAAATTGGGTCACCAGGTACATTTAAATACAATAAAATACAACAATAGAATAAAATACTGAGGTAGAAAAGATTAAAAAAAAGTTGTATTTGCAAATATATTAAATACATAGACTTTTATTATATTTTACTATTTTCTATTTTTATTTTATGTGTATACAGATATATACATTTCTATTTGTATTTCTAGATATATTGTTAGATATTGTGATATAATTATTATTTCTGTTTTTTGATGTCGTGTGAGCACCTTAAGTTTCCCCCACCGGTGATCAATAAATACTTTTATTTATCTGTATACAACAATGCAAATCAAAGTGCTTTACATAGGATGTAAAATGCATTAAGAAAAGAAACACAAGGAAATACAAAAATTCACATTTAAATAGGATTTAAAAGAGTGCAATAAAATAGACGATGAAGGTAAGCTAAAGTAGAATAGAAATTACAGAACAGTAATTTAATAATTTAATAAAAAAGCAGTGGCAAACAGAAAAGTCTTGGATGAAAAGAACTGAGAGTTGAAGCAGACCTAAAGTTTTCTAGGAGTTTGTTCTAGAAAATGTGGTGCATAAAAACTGAATCTTGAGTCTTGATATGATTTAATGGGGTTGAGGAAAAAAAGCAGAAAATCCATCTCTGGCAGGATGTTAATTTATTTAAACTTCTACTACTTTCTACTTTATTATTTTTTTACATGATTAATTAACTTTAACTCTCTTTCTTTCTGCAGCTCTCCAGGTTGCTTCGTTCCTGTCTGTACTTCTTCCTGTCGTGCCTGTTCTTCCACACTGTGGTGGTTCTCTACGGAGCTCCGCTGATTGAGTGAGTAGCTGTTCACGTAGGTGCCTGTATGGATGTAAAATAGAGGGTCTTAAAGGAGGACTTGTTACTGTCGGTTTGCATAGTAACTTAGTCTTCTTCAAATATACCACCCATAACGAAAATGGAAAAAGAACAAGTGAATAAATGCAGCTTTTTATGCACTTTATGCAGCCAACTACAGTTATTTTAAACGTTTTGACACATATTCACAGATTTTCACTCCTAAAAGTCGACAAAGGTTCAACTGTACTGTGAGCCTCTAATTTCTCGTATGTGTTTCAGATACGCATTAGAGACATTCTCCCTAGCTGTGCTGCTCACCTCTCTAACCACACTGAGGTGTCTCTGCGTCCTCGGCCCCAACGTACAGGCCTGGATCCGAGTGTTCAGTCGGCACGGGTGAGACTAAAACCTGCTTTTCTTTTCCCCCTGCTCCGTGTCCTTCTCCCGTATGTGCTTATGTTGTGTCTTTAAATTGAGTATACTAACTGTTCTGGATGCCATTTGCTCTGTCTCTGTCTACAGAGCTATGTCTGTGTGGGACACCTGTCTACAGATTACAGTGGCCTGCACAGTGGTAGGAGCCTGGGTGGGAGCTTTCCCTATTCCTCTGGATTGGGACAGGCCTTGGCAGGTAAGCACACCCTGAAAATCCTCTCATAAACAGTGCTTGTATTCTTATCTTACACTTCCCTTGCGTTCTTCTGTAAGGTTTTACTCAAACGTGTTCAAAGTTGTGGTCAAATATACCACAAAACCATAATAAAATAAAGAAATTAAGAAAAACTGTATATTTGTAAGCTATGATGATGATATAGTGAACAATTTGCATTATGATTACAGGTCAAACTCATGTTTTTCCCCTGTAGAGAAGGGCAGACTTTACTCGTACAATTTAAGAACAAATCGGTACATGTGGTTCTTGCATGAGAGCCACTGTATCAGCAGCACAAGCACAAATGTTTGTAGGCGTACAGACAACTCTATCTAAAGCTCATTTATAACACTAGCTCTCAACCTGTGGGTCGGGACCCATCAGTGGAGTTGGAAGATAAACCTTGTGGAGTCTTGAGATAATTAACTAAGGAGAGGGAAGCAGAATAAAAGCATATTTATATCATACATACTTTTGTTGCTTGTGAATTACTGGTCAATAATACATCTCCCAAGACCAAAGAAATGTTTATTGATTTTTGGAGGAGGCCCCTTCCCCTGTGTGACTAGTGGCAGCAGTGCAGTAATATAAGTATTTGGGCACTGTTGGAGACGAAAAGCTTTATTTTGATTAAAATACAGAGGGGGGTATATGTTAAAAGGCAAATCAAGGGATGTGTTATTAAGTTGTGAAGTTTTAATGTGGACTTGACACTGATGAAAATGTTTTATTCTTATTTTATTGAGTTCTTTTTCTGTGATTTGCTGGTTTGGCAGTCTCAGGGCATTTAGTATGCCAGAAAAAGACTTAGTATGTCCCAATTAGGCATGGGATGATATGAAAATTAACGATTATCTTGGCCAAAATAATTGTGTTACACGTTATTGTCCCAATACATGAAAGAAAAATATAAACCTCACACCCTTGTTCTTTACTTGGGGATCTATACAATTCCCACACATCCAGTTTTGGTACTTCTAATGGAAAGATACGGGTTCCCCCTTGTTCAAAATAAATCAAGAAGTCAGTATAGAACTTTATGCTGGCAGGCTTGGACAGCCTTTTCAAGTCAAGCCAGGTCATCCCTTATATAGAGTTTCTGTGCAACTTTTAACAATAAAAGGAGTATTCTTCTTATTTTTCATCTTTGTTATCTTGTTTGCCCTCCTTTGACATACAGCCCAGCTCCTCCACAGTTTCCTCTGTCAGCTGAACAGTATTAAATACAACCTCCATTAGTAGGTAGTTATAGTTCAACACAGTAGCCATTAAATATTTTCCTTTATATAATTAATTTCATATTTTTAAATGGAAAAGGGAAAAGATTAAAATTATAATTGCAAAAGCAGTTCTCTGCAAAATGACTGGAGGAAAATGCAAATTAGAAGTAGACAGTGGTAATTGGAGCATAACTCTAAATGACGCTGGTGCTGTATTTGTTCCTATGGAGGACACGCTGGTGGGGGCAAAAAGGATTAATTTATCTAATAGTTTCCATCCCATTGCATCTATCAGTGTAACATTGGGGTGTTTTATGAACGATCGGACTCACTCGTCTTTGCTTCTTGCAGGTTTGGCCCGTTTCCTGCAGCCTGGGCGCTATGATTGGCTTCCTGACCGGGCTCGTTGCTGCTCCTGCGTGGATCCACTATCACCGCAAACAGCTCACATACAAGTGCAAGTGATGGACAGACAGTATGTTTGTGTGAATGTGACCTCGAGGGTATTTCTCGTATTCCTGCTGTATTCCTTTAAACTTCGTACTGATTATTTATTGGGAGCGTTATCTCCGTTTGCTACCTGTAGGGAAGATGATTTTGTAATAACACAAGACTTACTTTATGAGCAACGTTATTTTGTATGTGCGGAGGCTGAATATAAACATTTTTGACATGAATAAAGTGTTTCTTCTTTCACGGTGTATTGTTAATTTATGATTTAAAGGTTAGGAGTTAATGACTGAAATTTCCTCAACATCAGTGGTTTGTTTGGGAGTGATTTAATCTAAGAACGCTCAAACCTGTAGGTGGTGCTGTTGGATCACCACCTGTGTGTGAGTGTGTGCGTGTGTGTGTGAGTGAGACAGTTTAAATGAAGAAAAGAAATCAAGCCTCACTCTCATTTGCAAAGTAATACAAAGTAATCAGTATTATGGTTGGGTGGTCATTTATTGAAAGACGAAAGTTAGAAAGTTTAAAGACAAAGTCTAAACTGCCAGTGTACTTCCATTCTGGCACACACACACACACAGTGATGCCGTTCCGCACCTAAAGCTGACTACTGATGAATACTGTTCCTTTTTAAACAACCATTAATCTTGTTCCAGCTCTATTTCAACACCCCCCTCCCTCTCTTGCGCTCATTCTCATTCCACCTTTTCACGTCCTCAGGCAACCATATTGATTCACTTTCATTTTAGGGGCATTAATTTTCCTCCTTTCATGCCGCCCACATCCCTTGTTCTCCCTCGCAGCCAGTAACTACAATGAAACTTCCATATTCTGCAATCGCAGTGCCAAATTGCAAAGTGAAAAGGGGGCTGTTTGCAGACAGTCCTGTAACACAATACCACGTAAGTCATTACGTGCAAGAAAAGGATGACATTTAAGTTATATTTGCAGTGCAGGATTTACTGTTTAGTATTAGTTGGGGATTGTTGGACGGTTTCAGCACAGAGCCGAGGGGCAGAGCTGTCCGTTTGCCCTGTTTTTGAACTCTTATATAAGGTTGTTGCCAGGGAAAGGCTGAGAAAAATAGCCTGAAGGGAAAAGAGAAAAGAGAGAAAAACACATTTCTAAAAAAAACCATACAGGTAGAGAGGGCATTTCAAAGCCTTTTAAGTAGCCTACATATACTTACAACACCAATCAGCACACCTTTTTCATGCCTCAATCTCTCCGTCCATCTCTTTGATGAGATTCAATCTGACCTCACGCTGTTACCTCCATTACCCCTTCTTCGCAGTGCTTTTTTTCTATTATCCACTGATACAGCATTACCTGTGGAGAGCAAAGGACCTGGCGAGTCGGGCCCTTAGAGAGCAAAGGGTGTAATCAAATTGATATCGCCCTCCAACCCTCCTTGTAGTAAGAAAGTATATTTTTAGTAGAAATAAGATGGTTCATACATGTCCCCACAGCTGGGCATGTCACATCGGAGTGTCTTTTTTTTGTCACTTGAGGTGTTCTTATATGTGTAATCCGTGTACAAAAACGTGGTTGGAGCTGCTTTTGTTCATGCCTTCGATTGCACTTGTGGTCGTTTCATATGAGAGACAAGCAGAAGGCCATTTGCTCACAAACACACAAAAGCTGCTTCACAAATTGCTCTCCTCATTCAGTCTCAGAGAACTTTATTTATTCATTATTTGTTCTCAGGCTGTGCTATTGTCGCAGGGCATTGTGAGGAGAGGTAATTTGTCACTCCCCTCCCCTCTTCTCGTTCCAGCTTTTCCTGCAAGGCGGCTGTTGTGTTTGGTGTTTGCAGTGTCTGCAGGGTCTGCATTGTTCCTCTGAGGAGAGAGAAACAGAGTTATATATTGTGAATTAAGATGCCTCCTCTGCCCTCTGTGGCTGATTGCCCAAAATGAAACCTGCTGTAATCAATTTTTAAGGGTAGCACTGAATCGAATGACCGTGCAATGCAAAAACATTACTCATGGTGCTGAGAACACAGAGCATTAACACACAGCTCTGAAATCCCACTGCAAATTAAACGCAAGGTTCAGTTTCACAGCTCTCATTAACGTCTGTTTCCAGCTGCAACAGGCAGCTATTTTCAGCAAGCAAGTTCTGATTCAACCCCCCCGAACACTACCAGCCCAGCACCACAACAGCAGACTGACTAAGCTTAATAGTAAAGGAAGTCAGTCATCTAACAAGCTAACAAGGCAGATATTTTTCTCAGGAGTTGGTGGAGACCAAACCACAGTGAAAAGCAGAGTGAGTTAGATTCACCTGGTGGCCAAAAACACCAAATGGATGCTAACGTTGCTCCATGTCTGCTTGATGTGAAAATGATTTGCTAATACAAACAACTCTATAAGCCAGAGATATGGTGGTTGCTGTCTCTGTCACTTTATTTTTTATTTTTCTGCCCCCTAGTGGCCACAAATCGATTAATGCAGCTTTAAAAATAAGGGGAAAACAGCAAACTGTAATATAAAAAATGTGTTTATGTTACATGAATGGTCCCCAGAGAAGTTTCTATACTCAAGTAAAAAAGGTACCTGGTTGATAAATTAATCAAAGCACAATTTACTTTCCATTTTAATATTTTTAGGGTAAGATTGACGTTCATGTTATGTTAACTGCTTTCTAAAGCATACTAATTTAAAAGTCCAATAGACCACTAGCTAAAAAAGAAGTTAATGTCATTATGATGAAAAAATAACGTGAGCTAGCTATTTGCATTTTCACCTACAATATGTGCAACTTACTTCAGTGCGATTTCAGAGGTTAGAAGAAAAGTTCAGAGATCACAGAAAGCACTAAATGTAACTGTTGTCTTTTTTAGATTTTTGTCTAAAAAGTGTCCGGGTGTGGCCAGGAATTGTTGCTTGAAGCTGAAACGAGAAGTAAACCATATATAAAGTGGCTTTGCTATTTACAGAGAAAAGTAATAAAGTAATAATACAACACTGAGAGAAAGAACAAAATCCTACGTCCATCTCATCCTTTTTCTTATGCATTTATGCCTCTCTAGAGGACATATTTCTGTCTTATTACACATTCTTTCAATTGCAGCAACTAGTCTGTCACACAGTCTTGATGAGGAGGCACTCCAGTAAATGAGAATAAGCTTCTGTTGTCCGGTCAATACTGCTGTCTGGGTCCAATCCCTAAACAGACAACACCTTTCAGCCTCCTAAAATGTGAAGTTGCTGACAGAATACAAACTGCATCCAAGTGATGTTCACAAAACAGTGACTCATTAAGCACAACTGCTGGATTATGGAGCATGTCCACTGTGCATGCACTAGTGTGCCCTGATCTTCCTCACAATTTACCATCTGCTCCACCATTTTCTACTTTAAATGTTTAGTTTGGATCAACCCTCAGTCCTGCAAAGTCACACCCATTCTCCACATAACAACCTTCTTCTCATACTCTCATCTGCCCCCTTGTGGCCAGAAATTGGTTAATGCAGCTTTAAAATTGAAGGAGAAACAGTAAATATTTGCATCTTAGTGGTAAAAAGAATATACCATTTTCTATTTAAAATATTAATTTATATCATTTTAGTTCTTTAGAATAATTATGCGTGAAGACAATAAGTGTATACCTTGAAATCTTCTGGTTCTTGATTGTTCTACACTAAGAGTGCCTCATAGTACTTGACATAAACAGCTACCTTGTGCACACATCTGGTTATGCTAAGGAGAATGTCAGTCTCTGTAAAGAGGGGTTTAAATTTTCTACTGATAAGTCACACCCATCCTCCATATAACAACCATGTCACACTCTCATCCTCCCCCCCTCCTCACACCCCACCTGCTTCCTGTGTTTTGTCTTTCCTTTTGCCCCAGTTTCCTGTGTTCACGCTCCCCCCGGTACATGCTTCATTAACAGTTGGAGTGCTGTGTTATTGAGTGGTAAACATGTTATTGCAGAGCTCTTCTGTCTCTTCTGTCGGGTCTGAGAGTGACAACAAAAGGATCCTTTGTTACTGAGGGATGCTCAAGTGGGTTGTCATGACGCAGTAGGGATGGGGAGACAGAAAATTAAGGAGATGTTGAAGTATTCCTTGATGCAAAGCAGGTGCAAGGTTTATTATCAAAAGATATTAAACCAGATATTAGGTGCATTTCGTGATCCTCAAGCTAATGTGTGCACATAATGATTATTTTTCTCTAAGAAAAGCCTCAGTGGGAGGATAGTGATTGAGTGAAGTTGTAAACAGAAAGAGTGAGCAGGGGATTCCTGGTTAGAACAAATGAGCAGGCTGTGTACACCTTTTCTCACCTTTAATTCAACAAGATCACTTCTTGTCAGATAGTGGTCACACAGTGGTTCCCAATTTGGGGGTCAGAACTCTCTAAGGGGTCACAAAGTACATTGTAAGGGTCAAGAGATTTAGAAGAATGATTCTCGGGATGGCAGTGTCAGTGTGTTGGTCCACTACTTTGATGCAGGCTGAAATACCTAAACAACTATCAAATGCATTGCCTTGAAATCCCACTGATTTTGGCAGTCCTTTAATTTTCCAGCAGATTGACCTTTGTGGATGGATTGCAGTAAGATGATAGAAGTAGTAACGGTAAAAAAACGTAACTGGGATTTCTGCTCCTTCAAAGTACCTGCAACACTCCCTTTTCAGACGGAAGGAATATTCCTCTGTACCTGATAAAGACCCAGTTTGAGCTCAAAACACTGATTGAGCATGCAATAATTCCATCTTGCCATCTTGTTTTTAACCATAATGGTACTGGACTAATTAGCATCCTATGAGGGACGCACATGTTTTAACACAGTGTGTGTGAGAAGTGACTGAAAGAGGTTAGTGTATATGCTCCTAGCAGTTATATCAGAACTGGAGAGTATTTCTTCATTGAAAGAAGAGCAAAGAACAGCAATAAAGGTGTTTCTCTATGGAAAGGATGATGTCGCTCTTCTCCTGACTGGCTTTGGTAAGAGCTTGACTACGTTATATGGTTAGTTGATCTGGCTGGTCGAAGTTTGCGTGTCATAGACAAGATACTTCATCCAGTTACCTGCCAAATATTTTAACAAAACAAACTTTTTCCAATGTAATAAAATTGAGGTTTTAAGGGCGCATTCAATATTCACAGAGTAAAACTTTGCTATTTTCTTGTGAAATACTAGATGCCTTCACCTCTTCTGGCCTCTGAAAGCTATTGAAATGAAACTGTCTCAGCGAGGAACATTACTCTTTTGTGGACGTGGTTGCAATTCATAGACATATTCAAGCTGTCACTTGAGGATCACAAGTAAAGATTGCTTTAGTTTAGAAAAATAAGTAAAAGTGGGAACCACTATGTTCAACTGGACAGTTGCACAAAAATAAAGAGTACAGGTTAATTAACTGAAAAAGTTAGTCACTCTTGTCCCTGAGCCATGTTTCCATGGTTACAATCATTTACATCTACTGACTACACATTAAAGAGGACAACATGGCTCGATTAATGGTTTTTCAATGTTGTGGAATAAGCTATAAATAGGTCAAGGTCCACTACTTTGTAAATACATTTTTAGGTTATTCTTCTGCTACAGCTACTACACAAATGTGTTTTCCTTCAACAAGGCCAGCTCAGGTATGTTTTCAGTTTGGAGCTAATGGAGCTTTTGAAGAGTATTCGTTTGCACAGATTACAACGCAAATAAGTGCCATTCAATAGAGAGAAACTTGACACCTTTGTGCAACAAATAAACTGACATCTATCTGCTATTTATTATTCTCAACATTACCTAGCTGTTATGTGTATTCCTGTGTAAGTACATTGAGAGTAATAATGAAACTGGAGTCCTTGTGTGTGCACACATACTTATCCAATAAATGTGATCCTGATTCTCATTATATCTTAACCATAGTCAATATTTTGAGGGTCTACAGCACACACATTGAGCATTTTTCAGCAGAAATGGTAATTACAGTAGATGTTATACCAGGCACCACCATCAGATACCTGGGTGTAAGCGCCATCCTGCACCCTTGTTTTGTCAAACACTTCTCAGACTTTTGTCTATACTACTTTTGTCGGCAATCATTTTTTCCACCAGAAGGTCATATTAATCATTTTTTAAATCAGTGCTATCATCAATTATCCATCATAAGGTTTTCTTCAGGGTTTGAAGTATTGAGGCCGTGACAAAGGGAAGTCTAGAGTTGAGTCATAGTGACAAATTAAGGTGCCATATATTAATAAATAAAACTCTTGCATTCATTGTATCCATTCATTTTAAATGAATTTGAATGAATCTAGAAACGTTCTTTAGAAAGTAAGAAAACTGTCTGAATATGCATAGAATTAAAGCCTTCCCGTACCCTCAATCTACACTGCAGTTAGAAAATACTTTGTTGTGTTGGCTTTGTACTACTTTATTGTGTTTATGTGAAGACTGTAACAGACGAACAGTTTAGCCTTGTAATGGCCACACTATATTGTGGCTCTAGGGATCGCAATTAGGGATTCTGGAAGTGAGTCAGAGTTGAGGGTACTGAGAGAAAGTCAGGCTAATGAAGTCATACTAAATGCTAAATGCATGGCATTCATGGTTTTTGCAGTAATTTGAATGGCCAGGATAATGTATAGCCTATTTAATAGTTAGTAATAGTACACAAACTGTATCAATTTGTTTGCAGATAAAATAAATAAAACCAATGCACAACAACTTCCCTGCAAGTCATTATAAGTTAATAGATAAATAACATTTTATGAACTAATAGTTTTCATTAAGCCAGATTTTAAGGGGTTGTGCAGCTTCTTCTGCAATGCAAATATTTCAACAAGCATACGTTTTTTTTAGGGTCCAGTTACTTTGCAGATTAAATAGATTATCATGCCTTACTATAGGTAAATAAAAGATATAATGAAATGGGTCATTCTGCATCATGAGTACTTTTGGTACTATTTGGAACTTTTAAAAACTAGAATGATGACTTCACTTGTAACAGAGTATGTTTACCGTGCAATATTCTTACTTTTGATTGGGCTTTTAATATAAAAAAAAAAAACATACCATACACATCAAGAACAAAGAGAAAAAGCAGAGTGTGAGATCATCATCAGTGTTTCAGCAGCTTGATCTCGGACTGCCAACATGTCTGTCTGAAACAACCTCCCTCTCTCTCTCTCTCTCTCTGAACTCGGCGTGAAGCATCTGACATCACACCAGGGCCCACACATAAATACTGTATGAGACAGTACTTAAGCCAAGTGAGCAGCAGCTATGTTCCAGACGGGGTGTCTCCATCATGCTTGCTTTCTCTCTCTCACACACACGCTTATCGCAGCACTACCACAACGCCTGGTGAAAGCTGTAAGCATAAAAAAAAAAGAAAGAAAAAATCTTAACATCTCCGCTTCTATTCTGGCGTTTTGCAACAGCTGATGGAGATGATGCAGCTCTAGACCCTATAGATGGTTTCATACATGATGTTTGTGTCAGTTGAGTGCTATTTCAGTGAAAAAGGAAAAGACTTAAACTCAGAGCATCTTTTTACATTTGTTTCCCCTTAAAATTTATTAACTTATAATCTTTTTCACAAAGTAGACAGACATAATTATTGTTATCATTGGTGTGATGTTCTGACAGAGATTAATCCTCATCTAAGAGTCCCAAGAGGTGGCGTGGCGACGGCAGAAGGAGACTGGGAATGTTGGGCTGATGAATTAGAGCAGCGACATGTCAGAGGTGATCTTGGGTTGGCGTTGGTCACTTTTTGTTGGGCTGGGCTGCGATGTAAAGAGCCACCAGACAGTAGAGAGCGCCTCCTATAGTGAGAGCCATGGTGGTGCGGTACAGTAGCTTGTCGGGAACTCCGCGCTTCAGATGAATGGGGACACCGTCTGACGTCTGAGAAGAAAGACGGAACAGGATGGGACGGGTGAGAAGGCAGGAGAGGGTTAGAGAAACGACAGGCAGCAACATTTTTTTTGATTATTTGGGTCAGAACATAATGTTCCAGTAACTATTTATCTATCAGAAATGAACCAATTATTTTTTAGATTTCTAAAAACTGTCCCTGAAAATTTCATTGGAAACACTACAATGAAAAAAACGTTTTCACCAGAGTGCAATTATCTTTGAAGGCCAGAGAACTAGATTTCTTGCTCTAGCTTTAATAATAAAAAACAATGTCATTGCAATTAGAAAATTGCAGCAGTCAGTATTGTAAATTCAATTTGAGTGAGCGATTGCTTGGCCCAACTTCAGGGTTTCTTATTATTTCCGTCACTGCCACGTGTGTGATAAATACTGAGGTGGGAAAAGCCAGAAGCCATTAGGAACAGAGGGAAATAAATACAAGCCATCGACTAAAATTAATACATCTTCGCCAAGTTTGCCCCATCAGACAGCTACTTTATTAGCGGGTAATGAACCCTGATTGAGGACCAATTTGAATTAATAAAAGCTGATTCACTGTGAAAACTACATCAAGTGGGAAAAAAACAACAACTTCTTGTTGTGACTAAGACTGACGCCAGCCTATGTTCATCCTTACCTGGAATAACCTCTGGAGGTCAGGAACCCTGTTTGTTCCGAGGTACTCCACCGTGGGCCCGGCCTCTGACACCACCTTGGTGGGTGTGGCAAAGACCATGGCTGGGGACTCTGCTGGCACACCAGGCCTCAGCCCCTGAGCAAAAAAAAATAAAAAATCAACTGGTCACAATAATGCACAACTCTATTCAACGTCATTAATTCACATGCACGAAAATTAACTTACAACACATTTACAATACCTACGAAAAACTATGTAACTAGAGGATGCGAGTTGATCAGCCATCAGGGACCAGTGTGAAAGATTTAATGTTTTTTACAGACTTATTTTCTCCATCTTGATACAGTTCAGTGCCTCTTTGACCCAATCTTAAAAATTAGGTGGTGAAACATGCTTTTAATAAGGCGCCTATCCGGCATTGTAGTGCAAGACAAGAGCTACTGCAATTGAGAGAAATTGTTGTCATTGGAAACGCCAAGTATTTTTAAGAATTTCAAATATTTGAGTCCAATGCTGAGATAATTGGGGACAGGTCCAGAGCATGTGTAAAAGATTGGCAAATTGGCAAATATCTGTTTATGACTGGATAGAGGAGACAGTCAGTGTCTCAGGATATGGATGGATTTTGTCACTCCTATTATTGCTGTTTGTCGTACTATCTGAGGGATATCACCCCAAATGTTGGAACTAGCTTTGGGGGGTGCAAACAGGAAAGGATATTGTTAGCTAGTTGCGGATTTTATGGAACGTTATTTAAAGCAATATACAACGATGAAACAAGGATTAAAGTTACTTATAGTCTTCCATAAGCTTTTTTTTAAAAAGTAATATTATAAATAAAAAACTCTTAAAAGAATTAAATCTTTTCATATTCATTTATATTTGGTAGAACAAACGTCCAGGTATTATCTCTGTAGGTACTGTACTGAGCTTAACACCGCTGCATGGAATACAAGTGATTACAAGAGTACTTGATCTCCTCTCGCAAGTTATGGCTGCACTTGTGAGACTATTAAAGTGCCTGTTTAGATTATTAAAGAGCACCTCAAGTAGCAGTCCAAACTCTACAACCTACATTATGTATGAAGTTGTTCAGTGTTATATCAGTAAGCAATTTCTTACACTCCTTGTCTAATGCAGCCAGACCTGTTTACACAGTTTACACCTATAGACGTAAGGACCACACTTTGTCCCTGGAAAAGAGGAAGAAACTGAGGGACATTCTGCTCTTTTTTGTAAGCTTTTGTAGATCCGTACCGCAGCCATTTAGCCATATGAACCCTAATGTTGTTCTACTTTTAGAGAGATAATACTATAAAGTAAATAAACCAGAGGGACACTGTGGTGTTAATGAAGAACAAGTGTCCCTCCTTAATATCCCTTTCACTTTGGAAGAAGCTTCTCAGCCACCTTGGGTTTTGAAAAATTACTGGGAGACCCATTACCTTGTTGGAGTATGTGGAGGCAGATAGTGTGGGAGCGGGGAAATTAAACCTGACATGAAACTGCGGAGGCACTGACAGCAGATTATTTTTACTTGCCATTTAAGAGAAGGCCTGCCTAAAAGTGTTCACAGCAGGAACTCATCTGTGCGCGTTATACCAGAAATACAGAGACGATTCACCTTTATTTTTTTTTATAACACGTTCAGGTTAGGTAAACTGGAAACTCGCCTGAAGGTGTGAAACCAAGTGTGATTGCAGTCGCCTGTCTGTCTCTATTTTTTTACCCTCTTGACAGACTAACATCCTTTCTATCGACCTGCCTCCATCGATCTGCGTTGAGGTCACATGACAAGCTTTAACGGAGATAATTGCCAAGTGAGTGGGAAAAGATGCAGTTGCCACGTCCCAACTGCCACTCTAAAAGGAGGCAATGTCAACAGTTACTGGTACATCGCCTTATATCAGGGATCAGAAATTAGGCTGAGGCTCTAACAATATTTAGTGGTGGATAAAAGGTTTAATCCACTTAAATGTAGCAATACTACAGTGTAAAATACTGTTTTAAGTAAATTAAGTTAAAAAAAATGCAAGTATTGTCAACAAAATGTATAAAAAATAAGCATACTCATTATGCAGAATTACCCATTATCATTATATTATTCTTTTAGCTTATTACTTTTGAGTAATTAGAGTCCAAAAAAGCTCTGGGAGGCAAGTAAACAAAGCATTGTAAACTACACACACACTAATAAACAATAACACAACCCGTAGAGGCTGAATCCAAATGGAAAATATACTGCAACGTCTTTCCCCAACACCTGTAAGCTTTAAAAATATGACATGACTGTTTGATTATCAGCTGATAGAGATTAAATGTCAAACTTGACACCTCACATGCTGCCTGCACGCCACAATAAACGCACGTAATATACATCACGCCAGCACAGCCAACTACGGTTGTCGTGTGACTGAACTGTCTGTGATGTTGTATGTATGGAGTTTGTTCTCAGGTCTCTCTTCATCTCAATGAAATGTCCTTAATAAATCAAGTATATCTAACTAACTAACTAACTAACTCATTTATATACGGCAGGGTAGTTTAATGTCAGCAATGTATCACACTCAAAACTGTCTTTTATGTAAAACTAATACATAAAAAAGTTTTATTTAGTGGCGTGAAAGTAGAAAGGAAAATACTTAAATAAAGTAAAATTACAGTAGCTCAGATTTGGGCTAAAGTAAAGTACTTTAGTTACATCCCACCAAAGACGATCTTTATGTAACAGGGACATTTTTTCTTCCCACAAAGAAAAACTTAAATGTTGGATAGGTGACTTCCAAACTGAGACACAGAAGAACTTGAAGGCAACTACAATAGAGTAACAAGGAGGCAGCAGTGTAAAGGACAAAGGAGCAATAATAAAAAGGTCACATCTGGCAGATGCTCTGAGAGGCTATTGAATTTCAAAATTGGCTGTAAAGTCACAGGAAGGCCAGGACAAATGTTAAATAAAGGTTCTGTGATAAGGCAGTAATGAAAAAAGAAATTACATTTTCAAAGAAAGAAAAGGCCACAGCTTTTTTTTTTATGGTTTGTCTGAAAGTCTTTCAGCGTTAGATTCTTTTATGACTAATTACAGATGACTTTCCTGGCTGGCAAGGTAATAAATTACTTGTCTGGATTTTTTTTTTGTAATCAATTACAGTTACCTTTTAAAATACACCAGTAACACTGAGTAGAGGACACATTTCTAAAGCTAGAAATCTTTCCAATCTTCCTTTTCTAAATCTGCTGCCTTATATAATACACTTTATTTATTATTGACATTTCATTTCTCTTTTTTTTAACTACACATCTGGTACCGAGGTCCAAAAGTAACGTAAAGTAATCAAGACACGTTACTTTAATATTATGATACTTGGATTAGGTTACTGACTACATGTTTTCGCAGGTAATCAGTCAGACATACCTGCAGCTGAAATAAAGTGAAGGCGAAGATGATGCGTTCAAGTACCGCGTAATAAAATAGGAAACTACCGTTAATAACCGGTATTTTTTTTAACACCCCGGTTACACAACTGTTATATTTAACTACACAGACGAGCTTTGAATAGCTCCCAGCTACAGCAGAGACAATCATGGCTCAACGCAATGATATGAAGGTCATCCTCCGCGGTTGCCGAGTCGCTCTCCCACCGACACGCACCGTCTCCCGGACTCACCTGAGGGCTGTAGGCGGCCGCGGGTGGAGACCCCGTGAGTTTCTGGGTTACCCCGCTGAACTTGTAGTACATTTTCCTGCTGAAGGACGGGGAACAGTGTCTCCCACAACAGAGATCACCCGGTAAAAGGGCTTCCTGCTGCGACCGTCGCGGGGAAGTGAGGTAGCTGTTAGCTGGCTCAATGCTGCCTGTTTAAAATTAAGATTGGGCGCCAGAGGAGGGGTGTAACTTTAAAATCATACACATTTTACTCTATACAACCTACATTATGATGGTTAATGTTGCAAGGAGCATTGTCTTTTTGTGCCTTGACTTTGATTGATGTTAAACATAGCATCTTGTTAGGTGTAAATTAAAGTGATTAAAGGGTTTTTTCCTGAAAAGCATGCAGAGGAGGTGGCAGTAATTTCAGCCCTGTCTGTAAATATTCCCCTCAGAATATATACAGCTTCGAAAAAACCCCACCAACAGACGATTAGAGCAGCCATGGTAAAAATAAATAAAGTGGAAGTAACACCCTTAGTAAATTCAAAAGTTCTTACTTGCTAAAAAGGTCAAAGGTAAAAAAGTAAAAGGTCTTTGGTTTCATTTTTTACAGTAACACGAATGCATCAGTCTTCTTGCAGAAAACCCCCTACCTGCATAAATTAAACATTTTAAAAAACAAGCTATCTTGAGCTTTAAAAAAAGGTTTTACAAGTGTAAGTCCAGACTGTCCTCAGAGACTAAATGAACAAAGCACACAAAAGTGTCTAAAAGTTGCAAAAAATCTGCTTGAAAAAAACTGATAACTGATTAATTGAGCCTTTTGCCTGATAAAAGACCCAATTTTATTGTAGATTAAACTACTTTATCAGTAAACCTAAAAGCTGACAGACACATTTTTCAATCACAATATCAATCATACTAAAATATCTCAACATTTATTGGATGGATTGCCATGAAATTTGGTGGAAATACTTATTGCCTTATACCCATGAGGATAAATCTGCACCATGAGGTTGACGTTTTGGTTTTTAGTGAAATGTCTCAAAACCACTGAATAGATTTCCATTACATTTGATAACCGTGGTCCCCAAAGAATGAATGACCTTGTTGATCCCCTGACTTTCTTCAATTTCCTGCAGAAGTAATTGTAAACATTATGACCTACCTGCTCAGCACCATCAGCAGATCCCTGGCTCCTCTTTCTGCCTTTCAAAGTCTCCCTGGGCAAAATACTGAATGCTGAATTGCACCTGATGCTGTATGAGTGTGTGTGAATGGGATTAGTTAATTACTGATGAGCATGTTGGCACCTGGTAATGCAGCCTCTGCTATCAGTGTGTGAATGTTAAAGGTAGTGTAAAGTGCTTTGAGTGGTCGGGAGATTGAAAAGGTGCTTTATAAATGCAGTCCATTAACCATTTACATGGCATAGCATGGCTTTAGTGGTTTCTAACTTAAAACAACAGTAAGACATATAGAAACATTATCTTTGCACATTGCAAATATCATTATATGTCAAACTTGCAGATTCCCTGCACAGCTCTTCCCTCATTTATTTAAATATTTGGCCATATTGTCTCTATTTTTATCTTTATTTATATTTTAGTTTAATTGTTATACACCAACGTACCAAAGCAAATTCCTTGTAGGTAAAAAAACCTGATTCTGATTCTGAGAAAAGAGGCGACAAACTGCAGGAAAATGATTGATTGGGGGGAAACATGACAATGCAGACGCTTCCATACGAGGGTACGAGGAGTTACTGAGTAGTGTGACTCAGCTGAACACCAGATTTTGGAGTGATGTGTTAGATGGTGCACAGTGAAGAACGAGTTTCAGACTTGGAGAATCTAACATGATTAAAAAGAACAGTGCCGCATGCAGTTTGTGATACAGAGTTGATTTCCCCTTATAATGGTACCTTGTGTTTAAACTAGACTGTGGCACAATGTTCACCCCAGTGTGAATCTGATGAGTGCACGAATGCCCTTGCCAACGGGCTCAGGTGTTCCTCACACATTACGTTCACCTGCCTGCAGGAGGTCTAGAGGTGTAAATAGTATGTCGTCACATCAAGTCTACATCGAGCTCCATCTGCCAAAAAATCCTCTCCCATTTGTCACTTCTCTAGGTCACACTGTGTACCGTTAATTAGTTTAGTTAAGGTTATTTTAGGTTAGGAGTAAGTGGTGTGTGAAAGCAGAAGTAGTCTGATACTGACACTTAAAATTTGATCATTTTTATGGCACAGTTTGATTTATGATAAGCAATTACACTTTCATTTTGCTCAGAGTCATTTTATTATAAAAGCTCATACATTGATCACATTAATTACAAGTTCTTTTCTACTTATAAAGAAATGTTTTAAATGTATGGTTTCAGTCAGGCCTGCCACTGGGCTATAAGCTATGCCACATGAGTTGAACATTACGGGTTGTGGGGAAGGGCATAAAATATAGATTATCTTTTATTTTTGTAACTGCTATACCACTTAAAAAGCACATTGATAACACAGAAACAAGTCTATTGAGATATGGGCTGTCTACAATACAAACTAAACTCATACAAGGCTGCGAAGATTACGTGGAAATACCAAATGTAGATTTTCAGATTGAAGGACAGACAGATAATGAACAGACTCATGAATTGTTTAATTTCCTTTGCAACAGAAGAGCAATGGCTTGGTGTGTGTATGTATGTATGTGT